CTGTCTGATGATGGGTGTGACATCATGCAGGCCTGCCTGACATCTCATGGACATGTGACATGCCTGTATGGCATCAAACAGGCATGAGTTGGAAGCTGTGCTGTCACACACTCATGGTGACATCATGATGACAGACAGGTCACAGGGTGTGAAACACACGTGCACCACAGTGTCACCTCACCCTGAGAACCTCGGCTGGTGCTGTGACATCACCCTGCCCTGTGACCTCACCCAGAAGGCTGTGGGACCCCCCCCAACCCCGAAATCCCCACAAACTCACCCAAAGTGCCAGTGCTGGGCAGCACAGCAGCTTTTAATCAGAAAACCCCTAAAAAAGTGTGTGTCCCTCGACTGCCCATCGCCCCCCACCCCCCACTTTTAATGCTCTTTTATGAAAAATCCTCCTTTCCACTGATATATAGATATATAAAAAAAATAAGAAGCCCCACACCCCCCTCGCCGGGGCAGGACCGGGGCTGGTTTGGGGGGTGATATTTACGGGGAGACTCAGCCCCCCCCAAACCCAGGGGGCCCCTGCACCCATTAAACATCCCCACGACGAGTCCGGCTGCTCGAGGCATGTGTTAAAAAGAAAAGGAACCCAAAACGGGACAAAACCACCCCAGAAAACGGGGGTGGGTTGGGGTTGTGGGGTGTGTGTGTGTGTGTGTGCTGGCTCTGGGCACCCCTGGTGTTTGAGGGGAGGTGCTCACACCAAGGAGCCGGCTCGGCTCTGCGCCGGCACCATGACCGGCACGGCGCCCGCCCGGGCCAGGCTGGAGGGGGGCAACGACCCCGGGGGGGCGGCCGGGTCCTGGTGGCGCCGGGGGGTCCCGTTAAGGGCGGGGGGAGGCAGGTTGGGGGGGCGGCCCCCTCCCCGGGGCGGGGGTCCCCGGTAGCTGCCGGTGGCAGTGAGGATGGAGGCGGTGTCAGAGGGGGGTCTGGCCGCGTAGAGTTTGTCCCGGGGGCCGGCGATGGAGGACAGGGTGCTGGTTTTGGAGATGGTGTCCGAAGCCGGTCTCCTCGCCCACGACGGGGTTTTGGGCGCCACAGCGTCCTCCCTGCCAAGAGGGGAGGCTGTCGGAGAGAGTGGCACGGGGAACTCCGACATTCCCAGCCCTGGCATCCCCTCCCCGAGCAGCGGGGCAGCCCAGGTTGAGTAGAGTTCCTGGACCCCCAAAGAGGGGGACAAAAGGGAGTGGGGGGAAAACACAGGTGGAAAATGCCCCCGTTAACTCTGAAACCTAATGATAACCGGACAGAGGTGGAACCCTCACCCCTCCTCCCCCTCTTGTTAACTCTGAAGCCCAGTGATAACTGGCCAGAGATCAGTAACTCCCTCCCCACTGTTAATTCTGAAATTTAGAAAAGATTGGCCCGAGGTGGGAATCTCCTCCTCCCCCATTAAGGCTGAAACCCAGTGAGGGCGATTTGAACCTCCCCCACGAGAGGAGCCTCACTTGATCTCGTTGGCTCCCTCCTCCTGGCTGTCACGTTTCTTCCTCCTATAGCCAACAACCCGCTGGGCAAAGAAGATGATGGTGGCGAGGGCGCCCAGGGAGCCCAGCACGGCGCCGGCGATGACTGCTTTAGTGCTCGCTGCCAGAGAGACACGGAGAGGTCCCTTAATCCCACAGGGATCCCACGGGGACCTCATGGGGACCGTGTCCCACTCTCCCCGACCCTGCGGACACGTACTCACTTGACTGCACCTCCAGGACGATGCTGCACTTCTCAAAACCCGCTCGGTTTTCGGCTGTGCAGACGTAGAGACCCGACATTTCCAGGGAGAGGTTGGTCAGCCTGAGGGTGCCCCTGGTCAGGTCTGAGGGTGGAAAATTTGGGTTCTGCCCCACAGTCCCCCCCCCTCACCGCCCCCTCCTCGTGCAGGAAGTGGGCAGGAATCCCCCAGCTGAAGCTTCAGGGGATATTCCAGCCCACCCGGTCCCCCCCAGAGGTGCCCCCTTACCCTGGGCCGGGGGGAAGAAGACCTGCGGGGTGGGGTCCGTGCGCTCCCACTGGTACGTGGGCGAGGGTTTCCCCTTCTTGGAGGAGCAGCTCAGGGTCACGTTGGCGCCCACGGTGGGGGTGCCGTGCAGTTGGCAGGCGGGGACGGCCGGCGGCACTGCGGGCACCAGCGTTAGTCCCGAGGGTCGCCACGGGGAGGCCGAGGGGAGCCGCGCAGTCCGGCGGAGCCTTACCCAGGACGGTGAGGTTGATGACACCGACATCCCTGCCCTCGGGGGCACCGTCATCCACCACGTTGACAGTGCACATGTACTGCCCCGAGTCGCGCTCGCGGGTGGCGTTGATGAACAGTGAGATGTTGTGGGTGAGGACTGGGTACAGGAACCCCACGCGGGACTTCAGGTCCGTCTCCCCCACCTTCACCGTGCCGTCCAGGTACTTCAGGATCTGCACGGGGGAAAACACCCCCTTGGTCCCCTTGGCACCTCCGGAGAAGGCGAAGAAGGAGAGAAAAGCCCCACAAATCCCATATTCTGTGGAGCAGCAGCTGCTGCAGGAGCCCCCTCCAGCCTCATCTGCCCTGAGAATCCTGAACGTGGGGACTGTGGGAACATGGGAATATCTCCCCACCATGGGCACCATGAGCATCCCCCCATCATGAGCACCAAAACCATCCCCCCACACATTGTGGGCATCTCCCCCTCGTGGGCACCACAAGTGTCCCCCCATTGTGGGCATTTCCCCATTGTTGTGGGCACTATGAGCATCCTCCAAAGGCATTTCCTCATCCTGGGCATGACAAACACCTCCCTATGCAGGCATCCTGGGCATGCCCCCAGTGTGGGCATCTCCCTTCATGGGCCCAATGATGACTTCCCTGGGCACCTCCAGATCATGAGGACCATGGTCACCTCCCCCCAAAAGTATTTCCTGCTGTGGACACCACAAGCAGCTCCCTGCTGCAGGCACTGTGGGCACGACCTCATTATGGGCATCTACACATCACTATGGGCACTCCCCATCAAGGGCACTGCCCCATGGTGGGCACCATGGTTATCACCCCATGGGGGGCCCTGTGAGCTTCCCCCCATCATGGCCACTGGCTCATCATGGGCAACATGAGCTTCCCCTCGTCCTGGACACCACCCCATCACGAGCACCACGGGCAGCTCCCCACTGTAGGCACCATGGGTTCATCTCCACCAGGAGCATCCACCTGTCATAGGTACCATGGGCACCAGGAGCATCTCCCCCACCACAGGAATCTCCCCATGGTGGTCACCATGAGCTTCACCCCATCATGGGCAACTCCTCACCATGGGCATTGCTGTGGGAACCACACCACGAGCATCCCCCCACTGTGGGCATCTCCCCATCATGGGCACCATGTCCTCCTCATGGACACCTTCCCATGGTGGGCACCTCCCCATCATGGGCACTGTGAGCTTCCCTCCATCGTGGGCACCTTCCCAGGGTGAGCACCATGAGCATTCCCCCATCACAGTCACCTCCCCATCACAGGCATCCTCCCACCATGGGCACCGTGGCCACCACTCCATGGTGGGCACCACAAGCTTCCCCCCATCATGGGCACCACTGTATCACAAACACCACGAGGACCCCCGCTCTGTCGCCATCTCCCAGCTTGTCCCCTCTGTCCCCACGCCCCTCTCACCTGGAAGGGGCCGGCATTCCCCTTGTGCAGCAGCCAGAGGATGTAGGGTTTCTCCTGGGAGTGGCTGGTGTACCAGACGGGCAGCACTGCCTGCTGCCCCTCCACGGCAAACACCGAGTCCGTCCCCACGTGCACCTCCAGCACGGCTGAGGAGACACCTGCCCGTGGGAAACCGGGATGTGACTCAACCCCAGGTGCCACTTGTCCATAGAACCTCACCGACTGTGGGAAAACCTCCTCGCTCGCGACGGAAAACCCAACAGTCTCAGGCTATCACCAGGAAGCTGGGCCAGGAGGACATTTTGCCTCCTTCCCCGGCATGGGAAGGGCTTTCCGGCTGCTCCAGAGGATGCAAGACAATGCTGTTTCCTCCCGTCCTGCTTCCCCCTGCCGCCCAGGATGGGAAAACTTCCAGCATAAATCCCCCCTCCTCCAGCAGCCAGACCCCCCCTTTACCTCAGTATTGGGGTATCCCCAACCCCCCCATGATGTTGCACCAGATCCCACGGGATTTATTTAGAGCAGGGGCCCCCATATGCACCCCACAAGCCTTCCCCAGCATCCCCCCTTTTTGCTGCCAGTGCTAAACTGGGATAATTCATGGATGGTCTTCCCTGACCCCGATCCCCTTCCATCCCAAATATCCCATCCCAATCCCCCCATCCCTTTGTCCCCTGCACCCCAGCATCCCCCCAAACTCCACTGGATGGAGGTGATGGGATCTGAGTGGGTACCACGGACCGGAGGGGGATGTTTGGGATTATTCCCCAGCTTTGCCTGGGAGGCTCAGCCAGAAAATTAATCGGCTCAGGGAGGCTGAGTTTGTGCCGGGGTTGCTTTGTTTTTCCCGGGGGAACATCGAGGCCCCGCATCCCGGCGGCTCCATCCCTGCATCCCGCCCATCGATCTGTGTCCCCGGCTGGCCCCGCTCCTGCCACAGCCCCAGGGATGCTCCCGACTGGGACGCAGGGTGGAAAGGATGATCCTACCCCATCATCCCAAATCCTGGCTTTGGAGGGGAAACCCCCTGGGTTTGAAGGATTTCGGGAGTCTCCAACGGCCTCGCACTTTTCCCTAAGAGCTCAGAGGTTGTAATTGGATTTTTCCAGGGTGGGAAGAGGAAAACAAGGCACTGTGGAGTATTTTTAGCCTCCTCCCGCATCCGTTCATCCCCCCACCCGGCAAGGCATCGGCGCTGCTTCCTGACGGAGCCTTTCAGCTCCGGGCAGGAAACTCTGCTCTGGCTGATAAGTCTTCTCAGGAATTAAAAAAAAAAATAATTAAAATTTCCCTTTCTCTGGTGAAAAACCAGGAGAAATCAGGCCTGGTCTGGTGAGGATGCGTAAAAATAGCTCACCCGGGCTAAGAACATAAACCCTTAAGTCCTGGAGGGGGTGGGGGGGATGCCCGAGGCACCTGTGGGTCCCAAATCATCGATATATTATTAGTATTATTAATTACATCAAGCTGTGGTATCGAATCCAACAGACAGCACAGGAAAATAATGCTAATTATAGTGTATTTATATGTAGCTATACAGATAACGGTATTAAATTTAGGGAGTGTGGAAGGAAATATGAGATGGCGACTCATTAAATTGGAATTTCCAGAATAAAATAGATCTTTGAGAACATATAATTTATAGTAATTATAAATATAGGTAGATTTTTGTGAGAATAGGGATAAAAGGGGTGATGTGAGAGTTATAATGGTGCTCAGAATAATGAGAGTAATGATCAAAGTGAGAATAATAATTAGAAAGGTGATAATAATAACGATAAAAGTGATATTAATAATGATAATAGTGATAATGATAATAATAATTGTAATTTCAATAGTGAATATAATAATTACAACAGTGATTACAACAATTATAAATCATAATAATAATTATAACAGTGATAATAATGAGATTAAAATAATAATTATATTAATAATTATGAAGACGGTTATATAGTTCATTAATTTTGCAGCTGGAATCATTAAATGATGCCACAGCCCCTAAACATTCCCAACAGCTGGGAAAATCCAGGTGTTTTCAGCCTGGCTCATCCATTATTAGGGATAAAGTTGTGTTAAACTGAGATAATCTAGAGGAAAATAGATGATATCCAACAATTATATCGTGATTTCTATTGGAAAAGAGATAACAGGTTATACACACCTTGTGGAATAATTACAAATTTGATTGTAGTTTAAAGAAAATAATTATAATAGTTCTAATATTTATAGTTATAAATTATATGGTATTAATTATTATATTGTAACAGTTATGATAATTATATTTATTTATAATAGCTATAAGTAATAGTTAATATAATGATAATAATGGTAATTAAATAGTGATGACAGAGGAGATTATGGTGATGATGATGATGATGATGATGATGACAATAATAATAATAATAATAATAAAGAGGTTCATTATTGATGCAGATGCCATTGATAAGTGACTCCTAAACCCCTGTGCATTCCCAACACCTGGGAAGATCCAGGTTTTTCATCCCAGTCCCTCCATCAGGAGCAGTTTTGGCCTCGATGCTGGGCCAAGAGGCACCGAGGATCCCCCAGTGAACTGGGGAGGGGTGGATGGAGCTGGATCCCAAGGCTGCTCCCTCCCCCAAATCCCCTTTTTCGTGCCACATTCGCCCCAAATTCCTCATCTCAGGCAGATGTGACCCTAAAGAGGGCTGGGAGAGCCAGGGCTGGAGCTGCAGGCACGGGAGGGACCGAACCCTCTGGCACAGCCCCAGCTTTGGCCACCTCGACGCTCCAAATCCTCTAATGCTTTAACCAGATCGAAAAAATTAAGCTGCTCTCGGAGCTCATACGTGTTTGGGGGGGCCCCGGGCACCTCCTGCCTGCTCTCTGTGCTCAAAAACCTGGATTCTGATCCAGCTGCCCTGAGCTAAACACCTGCCCGGCTGCCTTCCCTCCGCTCCAGCCCATCTGCTGGGATTTTTTTTTTCCATATGGAAAACCCAAATGAATTTAAATTTACCTTTAAAAATACCCTTACTTGTTTGTTTTGTCTTTTTTTTTTTACCCATAGAATAAATATCTTTTAAATTATTGTTGCAAACACTTTAAAGTTTTTTTCCCTATTGAAAATAAAAAAAAAAAACAAACCTCACTTTAAATTTGCCTTTGAATTTTTTCCCTATGGGAAAAAAAAAAAAATCACCTTTAAATCCCTGCAACCTCGATATTAATCCCAGTGCTGATATCAACCACCCCATTCTCATCCAAAATCTCATCATTTCAACCCCCCAAAAAGCTGTTTCCTGGCTCACAGCACAGCCTGAACCCCTCAAAAAAGCAACACCCCCGGGCCCCCCCCAAGCCTCTGAGCCATTTACTGTACGGGGAATTAAATCCCGGAGGCGGTTGGGGTTTGATGACCCCGCTTGATAGGATTAAGGCGCCGGAGTCATGTGAAACCCAGACCCAAATTAAATCCCAAAAGACCAAGCTCGGGATTTAAAATACACAGCGGGAATCTGGCCGGAAAAAGGACCCCTAGAAAAGCTTGGAAAAAGGTCAAGGAGCATCTCGGTGCTGCGACGCAGCCACTCGCCTCCCTTTTCTTTTTCTTTTTTTTTTCCTCGATTATTTTTGGGGAATTTTTTTTCCTCTTCTTCCCTTAACTCCAACTATTTATAAACGGGCAGATAGGAGATGCCTGACTGTGGAGCAGTGTCCGTTGGGAAAATCCACAACGGCATTTCTCACGACCCCGGGGGCGGGGGGGGGCAGGAGGAGCCGTATCCTCCGGAGAGACCAAATTTGGGGAAAAAAAATTAAATAAAACAAAAATCATACGTGACTTTGCTATAGATGGAAACGCCCTTCAACCCCTGCCATGGGAGATGGAGGCAGGGATGGGGTGGGGATGGGAATGGAATAGGATTAGGAATGGGATAAGGATGGGATTGGGATGGGTTGGGGATGAGATTGGGGGTGGGATTGCGGATGGAACGGGTCAGGGAAAGGGATTGGGGATGGGATTGAGGGTGGGATAGGATAGGGAAAGGGATTTGGGATAGGATTGGGGATAGGATTGGGGATAGGATTGGAAAGGGAAAAGGGTTGGGAATGGAACTGGGGATAGGGTGAGACGGGATTGGGATGAGGACAGGGATGCCAAACATCACCCCACATTTTGCTTTTCCCCATCATGACCCTGTGCAGATCCCACAGGATGAGGATAGATTGTTTGAAAGTAAATTTAAAGGAGTCCCACACATTTGGGATTCAAAAGTGACTTTTTGCTGCATTTTTGGGCTCTTGGTCGCCATAATGTCACATCCCAGGGCTCAGGCATGACTTGTTTTGGGGTAATCCATCACGACTCCATGCAAAAAATCCTGGCGGGATTTAAGGACTAAGTGACCCTGCACCTCGTCCCAACACCCTTCAGTTAATTTTTATCAGGGAAGAAAACCTTCAAGGAGGGACAAGTGGCGGCTCCGGGACCCCCACCCAGCACCCCGCTGGGAGGAAATGCTGCTGCCATTGTTTTTGGGGCCGTTTCCTTTCCCCAAAGGCCTCTCCTTGGCTGGGAACGCCAAAGGACATTTCCCTTTGGAGCAACTGTGGCGTTTCAAAAAAAAACTCAAATAGGGTGGGAAAAATAGGGAGGGGAAGGAGGGAAAAACCCGTGAGCAGAGAAGGGTTGAGACCCCTCACCTCAAAACCAGCTGGGGTGGCTGTGGGGCACCAGTAAACAAGGGAAAAGGAAACCAAATGGATTTTTTTCCAGCTCGACGCCAGAGGGGAATTATCGGCTCCGACACATCGGAGTCCCCGGGGTGTCCCTGCATGGCTTTGGGTTTGGGGGTGCTGGAAGGTGCCATTTGGCAGCTTCAAGGTAAAAAATTGCTTTTCCCAGGAGGACCCAGATTTCCCCCACTCGGGACACCCCTAGATTGGGCCCCCCCACCTGCCAACCTGCCTGCTGGGGTGGGGGGACTGGGGCCACAGACAGGGGCAGGTGGGGGCTGTGACCCCCCGGGTACCCCCAGGTCCTGCCCGATGCCATCCTAAAGCTTTCCAGGGTGCTATCCGGTGGTCCCGGGCTCCCGTGCGTCTTGCAGGATGTCCCGGGCTGCTCCACACCCTGCCCCTGTGACCCCCGCGGTACCCCCGGGTCCTGCCCGATGACCCCGCAAAAGCTCTCCCTTATCCCTCCTTGTGCATCCCGCGCCTCCCGACTCCTGCCGGGTGCTCCCCCGCGGTACCACCGGGTCCTGCCCCGTACCCGCCGCGTCCTGCGCGGTGCCACCGCTCCTCCCGCGCCTCGCCGAGCGCAGCCCCGGCACCGCCCGGCTCCTGCCCGGTGCGCTCCGGGTGCCGCGCCTTGGCCGGTGCATCCCCCGCTTCCCCCGCGTCCCGCTCGGTGCGCCCCGAAAGCTCTCCCGCGTCCTGCCCGGTTCTCCCGCATCTTGTCGGGTGCCCCTCCCGGTACCCGCCGCGTCCCGCCCGGTGTCCCCCGGTGCCCGCGGGGCTCACCCAGCAGCGCCGCCAGCGCCAGCGCCGCCCGCCGCAGAGCGCCCATGGCCGGAGCCGCCGCCGCAGCAGGTGCCGGGGGGGGACCGGGAGGGACCGGGGGGGACCGGGAGGGGCCGCGGGGCGGGGCCCGCAGGTGGGGGAGGTGCCTGACGGAGAGGGCGGGGTGTATCCCCACCCCACCCCATGGGGGTGTCCCATCCCAGGCAGTGACAACCCCCCCCCGCTCCCCCAGCCCACCCCTCCCCGGGGTCCAACCCCGTCTCCACCGTTTTTGCACCGATTAATTAATTATATGGGTTATTATTAATTACATTAGGGTTAAAGGGGGCGTGGTGCAATGTGGCACCTCAATGTCACACAGCCTCCTCAGAAGGGCACAGGGACCCCCAAACCCCCGTATCCCCATCCCCATCCCTCCCACACCGGCAGGGCAGAGCATCCCATCCTGCATCCCTCACCCTCATCCCGCCACCACCCTTCGGATAAACACGTCGCTCCCGAAAAATAAATAAAATGCCAAAAAAAAGGGCAATTTTGACTCCCTGGTTTTCAGGAGCCCCAGGGTGGATCCTCCCTGGCTCAGCCAGGGTTATCCTGGTCCTCGATCCGAGCAGGGTCAGACCTCGAAGCCCCAGTGGAGATTAGACACCGGCAGAGGAGGAGGAGGAGGCGGTGGGGGCAGAATTAATCCCTTCTCGCCCTCTCCTCCCCCCGTAAATCCAGGCTGGCCGCCGGGATTGCAGGATTTGGGGAGCGAGGAGGCTTTGGGGGATCGACCTGGCTTGATCCCACTGGGAACCAACCTCTCCCTGCTGACATTCTCACCTTCTGCTCCATCCAACGCTTCCGACTTGGCAGCGGCTCTCTGGGGCAACTCTCCCTGTGTGGGGGTGATTCCCTCTATTTTGAGGACTGGGAGGGTGGGTAACCTCCTCCCCTTCCTCACTCCATCTCAGGACTCAGCCACATCCAAAGGGAACGTCGGCTTCAAGTCAGGCAGTGATCCCCACTTTTTCAAGGATCTCGAGCATCTCCGCAGGGAAAGGAACTGGCTCTGGTGGCACTCACCCCCCGAAATAAATAAACACCTCCTGCAGTAATGAACGAAGCCCTCATGGGAACATCCACAGGGAAGAGCACGGCACCTCCCCAAATTCCCCCTCGGAGGAGGAGAAGGACGTGTGGAAGCCCACAAGTGTTTGCTTGATTTTATTAGGACCGACACATTCATCGTATGTCACAACGTCACCGATGGATGAGCTCCAGGAAATAAAACCCACCGGCCCCGGCGGCTCCGCGCGGGGCTGGACCAGGAACACGCTGCAAAGGCATAAATGCGTCCTCCCCCACCCCCCTCCCGCCCCGTCCCCCTCCCCACCTTCCCCTTCTCACAGCTTTGATTGTATCCATAAGCAATGGGTCGACAAAAAACAAATAATAAAAATAACCATCATGTTTTCCCAGCTGCCAGGTTATTCTCACAGAGAGTTATGGAACTCCATAAGGAAAAAAAAAAAAGGGGAGCCAAAAGGAGAAAAAGAAAGAAAAAAAAGAAAGAAAAAAAAGAAAGAAAAAAAAGAAAGAGAAAGGAAAAAAGAAAGACAAAAAGAAAGGAAAAAAAGAAAGAAAAAAGAAGGGAAAAAAGAAAGACAAAATGAAAGGAAAAAAAGGAAAGAAAAAAGGAAAGGAAAAAAAAGAAAGAAAAAAAAGAAAGAAAAAAAAGGGAAAATAAAAATAATAAAAATCCCCAGAAAATAAAAAAGAGGAAAGGAAAAAATAAAAAAAAGAGGAAAGGAAAGAAGATAAAAAAGAGGAAAGAAGATAAAAACGAAAAGAGAAAGGAAAAAAGAGGAACAGAGAAAGAAGAAAAATAATGAGAAAAAACAGAAATAAGGTATAAATAAGAGGAAAATAGTGTTTTTAAAAAAAGAGAATAATAAGAGGAAAAATAAAGCGAAAAATAAAAGAGAAAAAAAATACGGAGAAAAATAAAAAGGCCAGGAATTATTTTAATGTTTAAAAAAATAAAATAAAATAAAAGCAGATATGGCAACGCTACTAAGGAAGTGGAATACGTCACGGAACCCAAAGTCTTTGCAGGCAACACTGTTCGGAGAGAGGAGAACACTCGATGGTGAAAAAAGTGAAGTTCTAAATTATATACAAGATATCTAAGGGTGGCTTTGAAAAACAGTCCCCGGGCCGTCGGGGGTTCCCTCGCCGTTATCTATTGCTTATTGATTCAGATCCAGGATAACACTTAGAGACGGATGCGTCCGGATGAGACACCGTGGAACAAAGGAAAGACCAAACCCCCAGTTTCCGTGTGAAAACGCCGCGTGCACGAGCTCGTCCCGCGTGGAATGTACCGACCGTCCAACGGGCCGGGGGCTCCTCCTCGCCGGCGCGGGGAGGGCCGGGCCCAGCGCGTGGGAAGCGCCGCGAGAGCCTCCGCGCATCCCGGCAAAGTCCGACGCGCCCGGCTGTGAACGGACAGGATCCGAGTGAGATGGAAAATGGGGCGGAAAAGCCCTGATCCTTATGAAGGACGAGACTCAGTTGTTAAATTTTAAGGGGTACCCGATGGCTTTTTCCAGGCACTCTACCAAAGAGCCGGCGGACAGAAAATCCCTCTCCACTTCCACAAATTTGATGTAGATGGATTTGGGCGAGACGCCGGGCTCTACGACGCAGTTCTGAGATAAAAAGGCGTTGATCCCGACCCAATCTTTGCTGAAGGTTTTGGTGTTTGCCTGGAAGTGTAAAAACAGGCACTGCTGGAGAGTCCGGACCTCAGCGATGCCAAGGTAACAATAGATAATCCGGGCGGATTCCATATCCACCCGGAGGGAGGCCTGTGGAGAAGGGACCTCCAGCTCCCCTGGAGTCTCATTGCCGGGGTCAGGCGCCCGGTGCTCGGCCAGCGGGGAGGGGGGTTTCTCGTGGCACTCCTCGTATCCGATGGCATACAGGCCAGGGCTTTTGGGGATCCCTCCCGGCAATAAATACTGCACCACGTTCCCCCCGGTGGGTTTGGAGTGAGCGATGGGAATCCAGTCGATCTCCATGTGCAGCTCCAAGCATCGGGCTTCGCTGATGGTGATCTCCAGGAATTTGTAGTAAACGTTTTTCCAGTTCATTTTCTGCACTCGGGTCATGATCACCCGACCCTCCGGTTTTTCCGAGTTGAAGTATTCCCGGAGCCGCTTGCCGAGGGGGACCTGGGAGCTGATCTCTGCGTAGTGGTAACGGATATCCTCCTTCCAGCGGGTGTTGTACCCGATGCCAAAAATGGCCAGTTTGTTAGAAAGATGGAGCCTGGAGAAGTCCGTCCAGCTCTGAAACAGCTCCCACTTCAACTGGACTGACTCCAAGATTTGCATAATGTTCTGCATGACGTCACGCTTCCTGGAAATTAAGGAAGAGGGAGAGAAGGATAAAGGCGTCAGAGCTGGAAAACCACCCCGGCAAAAACACCGATCTTTGGAAAACATTAATCTCAATTGGCTTTCTCAGCTGATTTTTATGATTACTATAAATATTGCTGGGGGAGTTTATGGACTAAAACAACCCCCTGATGGGTTTTGGGAATTTTTTTAATTAATCTTGGCAAAATCAAAACAAGCCCAACCCAAACTCCTCCCAACATCAAGGCAGCTCCAAGGAAACACGTGTCTGGCATTGCTGAATAAAACCACACCTAATTACTGGGTCATTCTTTCCATTGCCATGTGCTCCATGTGCTGCATCCCCAATTTACAACTGCCACTCCAAAGGCTTCCACCTCATTGCTATCCCAAAAGCAATGCCAGCAAACAGGACTATTAATTGTAAAAACCCCAATGGAAGCATCAAACTGCTCCAAAGGGCTTGGTCCCAGTGCTGGGATGGAAACACGGCTCAAGTGACCAACACCCTGGAGTAGAAGATACACCCAGACACATTCTCGATCCTGTGGGATGAACAGTGGGAATTCCTCTGGATAGGCAATTGAAAAATCCCCATGCTCCCAAAGAGCTATTTGCACTCCCAGTAGTGAGGTTCCAAGGAGTGGCTGACATTGGCAGAGAGCATCCACGTGCATCTGTGGTGAGCTGGAACAGCTTCCTCTGGGATGAATGAGACCATTAAGGGTGTAATTAGCTGGCAGGAAGAACTCCTAATCTGAGGAGTTATTGTCCTAAGACCAAAGGTGTAGGAAGATAATGTAACTTGTTTGCTATTGGAGAAGCCTCTCTTGGTCCAACAAACAGGACGTCCATGCAAGTCTCCTTCCTTTTATCCATCGTGCCACGTCTGAAAACCTGAACTGGGGGGTCACCACATTCCCAAGAGGACATTTGCTCCTCCCAAACCCCACCAGGAATACAAACTGCACCAGGCAACACTGCTTTTCTTCTGTGGGGCAGAAACTTCCCTCTGCCCTAGGGGTTCCTCAAGAACTTGCAGCACCAACCATGCCAGAAGATTCCTGGATAGACCTTAAAAGGCATTTTGGGAAGCACATTTCTACTGTGGTTGGCACATAACTGAGTTTCTAGAGAACAGAGGAGGGACAGGCTGGGCAAGTAGAGCTGTGTTTTGGCCAGAGGTTCTCAAAAATGCCTGTTCCATTGCCACCAAAATCCTGTTTCTTACTGCAAGTTATTCCTGAGGAATCAGTTCCACTGCCTGGCAGCAACAGAGAGAAATTCTGGGCAAGGAGAACACGTGTTCACCCCAAATCCACTTCCATTTACACACAGACACTGCAGCAACACTGATTCGAGGCTTCCCTGCTGCTTTGCCACCCTTGAAAAATGCCTTTTGGAGGTGCAAGTTCACCTTCTGGGCACGAGGGGACGGGACAGACAAGGGGACAGGGCAGTGCCGGAGCCCAGCGCGGTGCCTCACCGCCGGCACGCGCGCGCTCGACTCCCGAGGCAGCTGAGCTCCAGCTGCACACGGATTCCCATCCCAGGCAGAGCCAGGAGAGCGCAGCGTGGGCAGGTTTTCATTCAACAGCGGAGGAACAGAGCGAGGAACCGAAAGCAAAGCCCCCACCTTTATTAATTGCACTATAAATATTCAGTTTAGCTCGGCACAATCCAGAGCTGGAGCTCCGGTGCATTAGTCACTCCGACTGCTCCTGTGGGGAACAGGAGCCTTTCCATGAGAGGGGATCTCAGGCAGCAGAGAAGGGCTTTCCACAGGGAACTCACCATTTTCAGCACAGAGGAAAACAGGGAAAGAGGAATTTTAAGGAGTTTTGCCTTTCAGTTATAGCATCTCCTCCCTTATGCTGGGACCCGACAGCTCAGCTGAGCTTCACATTCCAGGCTCTATCCAGGACCTCCACACCAAGCAGAGGTATCATAAGCAGTAAGACTTATTTATTTATTTATTTATTTATTATTAAATTCTAATTGTCATTTGTTGAACTATTTTAAATTATTTATTTAATATGCATTTATGTATTTGTTTTATTCATATCGCTATTATTATTCACTTTTCATGACAAAAATGGAAGCAGACCAGAGGGTTTGCCCTGTTGTGTGTCTCAGGACAACCTCACTTGTCAGCTGCAGAAGGTGCCCTAGAGCTGGATTTTCTCCTGTCCTCAAACCAGCACCTCCCTGCTGGAGTCTGGGATCTGTGCTTCTTCCTCCTTGGAAGCTTCTGCAATTCAAATGAGGAAAAGACTGGAGACAAGAGCCGGGGCAAGTTTGTTCCAAGGCGCTGTTCCCAAACCAAGCAGACTTCAAAGGGGTCAGAACAGCTGCTTTCAGTGAAGTTCCACGAGCTTTTCATCCTCCCAATGCCCGCAGTGAATCAAACTGCTCCTCAAATCAACTCAAAACAGTGGAACAGTCTTGAAGCAGCATTTCACTTTTCAAAACAGTTTATTTGGAGGCAGCAGCGTGCCAAGGGGAGGCAACAGCAGAGTTACTGCAGGGAAGAAGCATCTTGATGGAGCACAGAACGTGGACATGGGTCACCTACTGCCCTTTGCTTCCTACACTGCCAAAAATAAGGTGACACTGGAAAGATGGGAAGTCCTCACATGTCACAGACTCATAAAACAGTTTGGGCTGGAAAGGACCTTAAAGATCATCTCATTCCAAATCCCTGTCATAGGCAGAGACACTTTCCACTAGCCCAGGTTGCCCCAAGCCCTGTCCAACCTGGCCTTGGACACTTTCAGGGATGGGGCAGCCACAGCTTCTCTGGGCAACCTGTGCCAGGGCCTCACCATCCTCCTAGGGAACAATTTCTTCCCAATATCCCATCCAAGCCTGCCCATTTCCCCTTGTCCTATTCCTCCATCCCTTATTCCAAGTCCCTCTCCAGCTCTCTTGGAGCCCCTTCAGGCACTGGAAGGGGCTTCAAGGTCTCCCCAGAGTCTTCTCTTCTCCAGGCTGGGAGTGTTCACCCAGAGAAGGTTACTGGGAGACCTTAGAGCCCCTTCCAGGGCCTGAAGGGGCTCCAGGAGAGCTGGAGAGGGACTTGGGACAAGGGATGGATGGACAGGACACAGGGAATAGTTTCCCACTGCCAGAGGGCAGGGTTAGATGGGATATTGAGAAGAAATTCTCCCTGGTGAGGGTGGGGAGGCCCTGGCACAGGGTGCCCAGAGAAGCTGTGGCTGCCCCATCCCTGGAAGTGTCCCAGGCCAGGTTGGATGGGGCTTGGAGCAACCTGGTCCCGTGGAAGGTGTCCCTGTCCATGGCTGGGGGGTAGAATTGGATGAACTTTAAGGTCCCTTCCAACCCAAACCATGCTGGGATTCTGATTCCCCATGTCCAAAAGCACAGCACAAGGTTCACCAGATAATTTGAACAATTTTATAGAGATTATTTCTGCTGAAAATCTG